CAATTTTTCAATTTTCATATTTCATCCCTTTGGTTAAATATATATCTCATTTATTTAAGTGAAAAGTACCTGGGATTTTCCTCATAAAGAGAAAATATAAACACATATGATATAGATGTAGTGGTCCCAAACCCTTTTGGCACCAGGGGCAGGTTTTATGGAAGACAGTTTTTCCACAGATGGGGAGCAGGGGGGTGGCAGAGCTCTGTGGCCTGGTCCCTAACAGGCCAGGGACTGGTACCGGCTCATGGCCCAGTGGTTGGGAACCGAAATTCTAGAGGGGAGATCTTAAAATAAGTTATATTTCCTTAAGAGAGGAGCTGTGTACTCCTGAACAGAAACTTCTCTAGGCACATAGACAGATACAGTTACACAGTGATCCTCATCTGAAAACATTATTTAAAAATCACAGTTGCTACATCTGTGAAAAGAGAGTTTCTAGGCTTGTATGGGGTATATTAATAGATAATTTACAGGTAGAATACAAGTATAATAATTGGAAACATAATTTCAGGGCACTTTTTCTGCATTAAGGATATGTATCCCTCGATTTGTCATTCTTTGTGAAACATAATTAAAATTTGAACTGCTTTTAATAATAGTTGGTAGGCTGTATGAAAGAACTTGGTAGGTTCTTTTTGAATGTAATTCTATGTTTAGGTGGAATTACATGGAGTCCTGCCTTTTATTAGGGTTACCTATGACTCTTCACCATTCTGTGTTACTCCTTAAGAAGGGTTATGGACATGTGGGGCATTTTAAATTCAGGATTTTAGGAAGGTTATATTCTTATACATAATGACTTAAAGACAAAGGTCTACAAATTTTGTAACTAACTGCAGGTCACTTATATACCAGAAGTGCAAATCATATAACTTAAAGTTGAATATTGCCTGTATTTTTCACTGAATTCATGAAAAAAAATTGTATGCTAAAAATCTTTTGTAGAATGCATGGGATAAGTAGATTAAAGACTTAATAAAGGATTGTGAATTTAGTAGTCAAGTTTGAATTCATTATATGTTGAATAATTCATATTTGATAATTATATGTTCAATAACTTGACATGTTGAGCTCAGTAATATGTTCGTTGGCATCACACTGTCTACTCTTTCAAGCCTCAACCTGCTGATCCATTGTTCAGGGAGAATAATGCATGTTAGCCTTTCCTGAATCTATTGCTCAAGAACCACACAGAAATGAGTGAAATAATTCAACCATTATGAAAGATTCAAGAAACACACCATCTCCAGCATCTGGTAGTTTCCCTATTTCCCCACTGCCTGTCAAACGTACATTGAAGCAACCCGGAAACAACCAAGTAGTATCATTTATTTCCCCTCTGAATTAAATTATCTGTGCAGTTGTCTCATTTCTCTGCTTACTCTGCCTGAGCAGAAAAGGTGACTCAGTGAGAGCACTGTGTGTGATGTGTCTGAGGAAACTCTGTGGGGGACGCAAACACACCTGCCATGGAAACATCTGTGGCTATTCCCACGGAGCACAATAAGTAGGATTAGTACTTGTGTGTCAGTAACAGATGGTGCCCTGTCCTGCTAACCACAGAGCCATGCCCATTTGTCCAGTATAGTACTAGTGCACTCCCCAATTTGCTCACTCTTTATTCCCTGATCCTGTTGGAATGGTAAGCTCTGGCATTTTTGTGGCAAAATGTTCTATACGCCACAGTGGTTGCAGCTATGTACTGGAATTTAGCAAATAAAACCCTGGAATAACTGACTTAACTCCCCATGTGCCCTAATGACCCATTTGAATCTCATATACTGTTCTTGTAATTGGTCCTAATTCCTTTCTGGTGGGGTCTATTGCTTATATGGTATGTTAGTCTGCTTGGGTTGCCATAACAAAATATCATGGCCTGGGGAGCTTACCAGTGGTCCCTAACCTTTTTGGCACCAGGGAGTAGTTTCATGGAAGATAGTTTTTCCCAGGTTGGGGGTGTGGTGGGGTGTCATGGGTGGGGGCAGGGTGGTGCAGAGCTCAGGTGGTAATGGGCAGCCTGTTTTCTAACAGGCCACGGACTGGTACTGGGTCACAACCTAGGTATTGGGGACTGAAGATTTAACCAACAGAAATTTATTTTGGAGTTCTGGAGTCTGAAAGTCAAAAATCAGGATGTCAGCATGATCAGATTCTAGTGAGGGCCTTCTTCCTGGTCCCTAGATTGATGTCTTCTTTTTGTGTACTCATATCACACACACACACCCCTATATCTTTCTCTTTCTCTTCTTATAAATCCACCAATCCTATTGGATTAGGGACCCACCCTAATGACAATGGCCTCATTTAACCTTAATTAACTTAAATGCCCTGCCTCTAAATAAAAGCCCTGTCTCCAAACATGGTCACATTGCAGCAGATGTGTGTGCCCGCATGTGTGTGTGTGTGTGTGTGTGTGTGTGTGTGTGTGTTAGGGCTTCAACATATAAATTTTGGGGGACACAATTCAGTCCATAACATAAGGATATATTAAGATTAAGTGATAATAAGGTCAATTTTGAATGCTTATGCAAGAAAAAAATCATTTAGGGGTTTTCCATCCAAGTCACATTTTCTTTAACTCAAAACTCTATAAAAGTCCTAGGTGAAGTATGATCATTCATTGCATGATTTCTCCTTGGTTTAAAAACTAGTGAAGGGTAATGGGAGCTTGAGCTGAGTGAGGAAGGAGAAGGGGAGCAGTCTTAGCTGGGAAGAGGGTGGACATAATGGAAAGAACATTTGGCCTCATATCGCTTGTGGGTTCCTAGCTCAGGAAAATAATGTAATCTCTTTAAGTTTTATCAGTAAAATAGAGATATTGATAACTACTTTTAAAAATGTTTTCTTTTTCTTCTTTTTCTTTTTTGCCACTCTGATCCAAGTCCCCAAGATTTTATATTTAATTGACAAATAATTGTGTATATTTGTGGGATATAATGTGATTTTTCAATACATATGTACATTGTGGAATGATCAAATCAGACTAATCTGCATATTCATCACCTCAATTTGTCATTTCTTTGTGGTGGCAACATTTAAAATCCCTCTTTTAGTTATTTTGAAATATACATTATTATTAACTGTAGTCATTGTGCTGTGCAATAGAACACCAGAACTTAGTCCCCCTATTGAATTGAGACTTTGTGTCCATTGACTCATGTCTCCCCTTCCTTTGTCCAAACCTTCCCATCCTCCATAGCCATTTCTGGGTATATACTCAAAGGAATAGAAATTGGTATGTTGCAGAGATGTCATTGCAGTGTTATTCCCCACAGCCAAGATGTGGAATCAACCTAAGTGTCCATCAGCTGATAAACATATTTTTTAAATGTGGTGTATATACAAGATGAAATACTATTTAGCCTATTTAAAAACCCAGGAAATTCTGTCATTTGAAACAACATAGATAAACCTAGAGGACATTATGTTAAGTGAATTAAGTCAGACACAGAGAGACAAATGCCATATGGTTTTACTTACACGTGGAATCTAAAACAGTCAAACTTGTAGAAGTAGAGAGTAGGATGGGGGTAACTACTTAGGAGTTTGAATGACTAAATATACATAAAGTGCTTAGCACAGGGATTTGGACATGTAAGCTGTTGTAGATATTTCTCTTCCCTCACTTTGTACCATCATTCCTATTCTAATAAAGTTATGCTACAAGTTCATTACTTATGAATCCCAATTTGTGGATTCAGTTTGTGGCTTGTGCTGGTTCCAAGAAATCAGGAAATACTGAGCCATTGCATGAATAGTTTCACCAAGTATAAGAATGTGGTAAGTCCAATTTCAGTAACTCTTAAAGTCTCCTTTGAATTGAAGGTGAGCTAATGGGTCACAGTTGGGCAAGCAGAAAATTAACCCTCACTGCAACAGTAAGTAGCTATTAAGAGATTAATGAAACCCTGGCTAGGAGTTTCTAGGGTTTCTGCCTTCAGCCTTGTGCTGTTCAATGTTCTACTCTAGATCTAGATCTAGGAAGAAGTTGTTGAGCTTGGTATTCAGCTGAAGGAGATGAGCCATTGGCCAGAAATTAAGCAATGAGCTGAATCAAATAAAACACAGGTTCTAAAGTTGGACCCTTAGAAGCTATGCATGTGAAGGAGGCTCACTCATTTCAGTGGGCACTACATTCCAGGTAATTTAAAAAATGTGTATACTTATCCTCATACCTATTAAGACTAAGTTCAGCCAAATCTCCTCTGCAAAGTCTCATTTGAACCCTTGATTTGAGCTAAGTGCCCTGATAATTATATACCTGTAATAAAAATGTTCAAATAATGCTAAGGACTTTTGAATGCCAGGGACTTTTTACCTAATTGATTTTTTACTTCTGATGTCTAGCATAGGGAGTTTTCAATAAATTCTGGGTTCTTGCTAGAATAAAAACTAATTCAAAAGTAGACAGTGTTGAATTGGTGATTTGATTTTCTAAAGAGCATTAATTTCTTGCCTATATGAACACCAAAACAACAACAATGAAAATATCCTGCCAATAAATTGAGCTTTTTGTCTGGTACCTCAAAGTGTCTTGTAAATATTTGTGAGCATGTTTCCTGTTCTAAAGTAGGTCAAAAAACTAAACTTAGCAACTTTATTTAATCTTATTGAAGGACCTACAGTTCTTTTATATTCATAACCATCAGTGAGGCATGTTAAATAATTCAAATAAGAAGTACTAGTTTCCACCTTTATGTACCTCCTGGGTTTTGCTTTGTTCATCCAGTCACCTGCAAAGATCATCAAATGTTCAAATTTATAGTCTGTGACTCAATGACCCTAAACCTCTTGGTGGCCTGGAATGAACATGAAATGCTGTTATTTAGCACTTGGAGCTCAGCAACATATTAGTTTTCCTGCATTGTAACCCTCTGATGCCAGTGAAGAGGGAAATCAGAAGCAGGAACTAGACAATCCTGGCCACCCCTTCCCACTACAGTGAGTGAATCACTGACAGAAATGGGGCTGGAGGCTGGGTTTCTCCCTAAATCTTTTTATCCCAGGATAAACTTGTTACTTCTTAATGCTGTGAAACTGAGGAACACTTCATGGAGATGATGATGAGTTTGGACTCCAAAGTATACCTCTGTCTGTCCCGTCAAGCAGCATGAGCCCCAGTGGGGCAAGAGTCAATTTGCCTATTGCATGCACACTCTGTGGAACTCACGTTCCACCCAGGAGGCTGAGTTTTCTGTACAAAGAGCTATGCCAAGCCACTGAAAATCACTGGGTTGCCTGTTTCCTTGTTTATGACTTATCCATATAGTTGGTTCTGCTCCAACTTATTTGAAAGGGACATCTGTTGGACGAGTTGATGTGCCGTCTATGTTCTCTGAAAGTCAGCTCTGACAGGTCGATGTAAAGGAGCCTGAGAGAGAGCTCAGTCACGTGCAGAGAGGCTCTTAAGTACAGGAACAGATTCGAGAAGATTATCCAAGACAGTGACCTCAAGATCAAACTAGGCCACAGAGTCAGCCGCAAGGCTCTGCGAATTCTTTGTGGCTCAGCCCTCTGGGGTCTCCTGTCACCGTGCTTGCCAGTAATGAATTTCACTTCCATGTGAGATCTTTCAGGTCTTCTTGACACACTCTGAAGCCATATGTGTTTCAGTTGCTCCAGACATCCTCCTGCTCTTTAACTTGAAGAACAGTCTAAGTCAGCCAGTGAGGTTTGCCATAGCAGCAAATCTCCTTTCAAACCCACATCACTTGAATAATAACTATGATTCTGGATAGTTGACTCATAAATATTTCCTGCTAAGGAACAATGGGGGTAATCTGAGGAAATTAAATGCATGCAAGTAATTCCCCAACTTTATTCATCTTTGGATGCTAACTCCAAATGTTTTTACCAGACTGGTAACACGTAAAATCAGCCGGTAAGACCATCTCCTTTTCTTTCTTCCTCCACTCACCACTTCTCTACGGTGGTGTTAACTATGGAGAAGTCACAAAAAGTAGATGGTAAGAGAAATAAAAACTCAAAGATTCAAACTTATTTTTTTTTCACTCTCTCAGTAATCCTGCTTTAAAGGTGGAGTAACTTTCTTAGAAAGTTCAAGCCAAACTCAGTCAAGAAGGTGGAGCAGGAAACCTCAGTAACTCTATGCTACATGATAAACCATGTGAGTAGGTGGTCAGGCACAAACATTAATAGTTGGCTATGAATATCTTACATGCTTGGTGTAATTGTAAGAGTCAGTCCCTGGGAAAGTCTGTTTGGAAACATCCCATTGCTTAAGTGCCTTGTATAGTGTTATTCTTTAATATTGTGGAACAGTGTAAAAATATCCAGGCATCTTCTGAAGAACAGAGGGAGCTGGAGTGATATTTATTTACAGAAAAAGTGACTTGCAGTCCTCCTGAGTCCTGTGAAGACCCTAAAGACATATCCTCTCCCCCAGCTACCTAAGTGATATCTTGTGCATGCCTGGATTCCGGTCTATAGAATAGTTTCTGTATATGAAACAAATCGCTTTTAGAATAAGAGTTGCCACCAGAAAGATTTCCATTTATTAAACACCTACTAAGTGCCTGACTCCCTACTGGGTACATTTCATTCATTTCTCACCAAGAAACTTTCAAGGCTCTTTCACAATTTACAGATGAGAAAAGAATAAAGCGTAAGGAGATTAAATAACTAGTACAAGGCAACCCATTTGTCAACTGGTGGAAGCTGGGGTGGAGTTCATGTCTACATGTAAGCTCCTTGAGGCCAGAATTTTGTCTGTTTTGTTCAATGATGTATCCCCAAGTGCCTAGAAGAAGGCCTGGCAAAATGCAGGTACTCAGTACATGTGGTTGCATGATTGCCTTAACGAGAGCATCCAGCACATGCACTCCTGACCTTTATTCTCTACTGTCCCAGCTGAGGCTTCTCACTCTAGTGGGTGACCCGCCTCTCTCTCCAGCCTCTTTCAGAGGGAAGTGAAACCCAGAGCTGCAGCAGGAAGCTGGAGGACGTGGTGTCACCGCATTTGTCCTGCCAAAGGAATGCAGCAATGGTCAGGAAGTTGTCTCTCTGTGTCTCATGACCTCTCCCCCTCTCTTTCTCCCTTTCTTTATCTCCTCATCCCTTCCACAAAGGTTTTCCGAGTCCCGCTATGTGTGCTGAGCACTGGGGAGATTCACTATGAACAAAGCTGACATGGTCCCTGTCCTTATGCAAAGCACTGATTAAATCATAGGTATGATGAGTGTTATGACAGAGAGGGACAGGGTGTCGCAGGACCTTATGGCAAGGGGACCCAACCTATTCTTTGAAGTCAGAGAAGACCCCTTTGCAAATTTGAACTTTAAGACAAGATATACAGAATAAGTAGGAGTTCCCAAAGTATAGCTTTGGATTTCTGGAGGTTTCTGCCTAAGGGGCTTTTAGGGAATTCAGGGGACAAAACTATTTTCATAATAATACTAAGAAGTTATTTGCCTTTTTAATTCTTATTCAATTACCAGTGTACAGTGTATCTTTACAGAGGCTACATGATGTGTGATATCACAACAGATTGAATGCAGAAGCAGACATGGGAAACCATTTATCTTCTAGTAAGCCAGACATTGGCAAGAGTCACAAAAATGTAAAACAGAGTCACTAGTCTCACTAATGTATTTTTGGTTTTAAAAAATTTGGCTATTTCTCATAAAATGTTATTTATGTTAAGGTGCATTCAGTTTACTGTGTTATTTTTAACTGAACTAAATATTTTTAAATTTCCTGGTTTTAATTTACAACATGTGAATATCAATAGATACAAACCATATTTATTTTTCAAAAAGGTTTTTGGGGTTCTTAATAATTTCTAAGAGCAAGCCCCCACATTTTGAGACATGCTAAGTAAAGAGGAAGAGGAGGGAGTGTTCCACATTAAGCAAACAGCACATGGTAAAGCCCCAAGTTCAGATACAATTTACAGTTTTGAGGAAATTGAAGAAGTCCACTGTGGTTGAAGCATAGACAGTGAGGGGGATGGGGTGGAAGGTAGGGGTCAGTGGGTAAGCAGGGCTGTATTTGGTCAGTGGGAAGTCACTGAAGAGTTTTAAATAGGCTGGAGTTGGTCAAATTTATGTTGAAAGAAGGAAGGAAGGAAAGAAGGAAGAAAGGAAGAGGGAGAGAGAGGGGAAGACAGCAGAGAGAAGGAAAGCCAATTGGGAGGCTTTGGGGAAAAGTTGGCAAGCTGTGAGTTGGGGAGAGAAGGGTTGGATAGAAGAGGGTAGATTTAAGTGATATTGAAGGAGAGTCTAGAGGACTTGGTATTTGGATGTCAGTAGAGAATGAGTTTTGTGTCAAAGAAGGAATGAATTCTCTCCTTTTGTTTAGTCACACCACTTGATTTCAAATCTAGTGCTACCCTACCAGTTTTATGACTGTGGGCAAGGCATTGAAACTCTGTAGGCTGTAGTTTTCCCATCATTTAAAAAAATAGGAATAAGAACCACGATCTCATATGGTTGTTGAAGTGATTTTAAAAAGTAAGTGTGCCTGACCGGGCGTGTTGGCTCATGCCTGTAATACTAGCACTCTGGGAGGCTGAGGTGGGAGGATGGCTAGAGGTCAGGAGTTTGAGACCAGCCTGAGCAAGAGTGAGACCTGTCTCTACTAAAAATAATAATAAAAAAATTATCCTGGTATGGTGGCACATGCATATAGTGTCAGCTACCTGAGAGGCTTGAGCACAGCAGTTTGAGGTTGCAGGGAACTAGGGAACTACAGTGATGTCACTGCACTCTACCTGGGCAATAGAGTGAGACTCTTCTTAAAAAAAAAAAAAAGTAAAGTAAATGGGCCTAATATAACTGGAATATCACAATTATTTAATATTTGTTTGTTTTTCTTACCTTCTGTTTACATTTACTTTTTTCCTAGACATTTTAAGGTGGTGGAGGGAAGCTGGCAGTGTTCTTCAGAAAACATGAAATTCTTCGGAAGGGAGGATCTACACAGTTTGCAAAACTCCTCCTGTGACTCCTATGTACCACTGGGGTGTGCTTCAAGCATGTGCAAGCATGCTCTCCATTCATTTTCTCTCTCTCTCTCTCTCTCGCCTCGATAACTGCTCCACCATTGAGGTTCAGTTCTTATTATATTATCTGCTCCTTTCGAACTTGAAACTTTGTCCTGGTCCTCTTGTTCCATAGTCTGACTCCTGCTACTTACTTTGTTCCATCACCTTTGTCTTGGGCTAGCCTTCTGTATTTCCCACACCTGCCTTGCCCCTAACTTTGTGGGACTCCCTTCCCTGGCAACCACCATCTATAGACAAAATAACTTGGGGCGAGTTAAGACACAGATTAATATGACTGTAAAGAAAACCTGGTTGCCCTTATGACAGGGGCCTGAGCTACCTCCTGTCGTTCTTTCTAGTATCTTTTGAAAGGCTGTTCTCAAACACATTGGCTTGAGGATTTAAGGTTGTATTCCTTTGGGGGCTGGATGGAAAAGGAGACAGAGAGCTACGGGGTCACAGGACCGTGTGAATGCATTGTGTTTTGTCAAGTGGCCCTTATAAAGCAGAGCCCAGGAGGTGAGCAGAAGACAGCTCGGGCTGGCAATCCGCCCTGTGACAAGAAGCTTTGTCTGCACGCAGGTTCTCAGCGCACAGACAGTCCACATTTGAATAGAGCCCATTGTTTACCAGTTGGGTGGAAAACAGAGGAAATGGGCAATGAGTCAGGCACCCACTTGTTTCAAAAGGAATTTTTCTAGTGGTTTCAGAGAAATAGAAGCAAAAATAGGAGTTTGAGGGAAGGTAAATACAAAGGCAAAGTAAAGGCTGCTGGATGCTAATGTTGAGCTTGTCTTTGCTGACGGCCTGTCATGCTCGGGCTGTGGGTTCCAACCCTGAACTTGAATCCAGCAGGGACCCCAATTCCGGAGAAGAGCTTCCACTCTGCACAGGGATTCTGGCTACGATCTAATCTGAACTAATGCAGGGTAAATTGATCTTCTTCCTTTCTCCATTTAAAGGACATTTGCTAAAAATGCCTTCTTCTTCATAGGGGTTGTGGAACAGACAGAGGAGATTGCAGAGTGTATAAATTTTCAGTATAGTAACTGATAAGTAAATGACATAAGCTTAGAATCTTACATGAGTCATATTTTCTGTGACTTGGTTTCCTGCTCTGCAGATGCTCTGCCGGACATTCCACTTTTCTATAGCTCAACGCGGTGTAGTATAGGAATGGTCTTTCCATTGTGTCATCTCAGTTGGGAAAAATGCATGGCAGTGGTATGAATGCCACTGAAAGAAAGGAAATGACTTTCTGTCCATGGCAGAGACTCAACTATGTTCTGCTGAAGGCTCCACTTTTCAATCCAAGTTTGACACATATTTTTTTTTTTTATTTTCAGTAAACTTTTTTTTTCCAAATTTGGTCAAAAAGGAATAAAATCCAGGAATTATAGAAAAATCTCAGGGAAGTAAATAAAAGTAGCCTGTAATCTGACCCCCAGAGCTAACCAACAAAGCATGCTGCTATATATCTTTAAATATATAAATTAGTAAAATATGTGTGCATATATACACATGTATACAAATATATATACACATATACATGCATAAAATTCATGGAATATTTTGTGCATAGTTTAGTAACCTGAATTTTTCATCTATAATTTGCATCACAATTTTTATATCACTATATATTATGTTCTTCCTCCACATAATTTTGGAGGCTGTAAAACATTTTTAAACACTTCCCTATTTTTGAGCACTAAGATTAGTTTCAATTTTTCCCTATGAATTGCTTTTTACTGACATTTTCTAGTAAAACTTCAATCATTCATTTTTCAACAAGTATTTCTGGAGCATCTACCCTGTTCAAAATATGAAATCAGGCATTGTCTGTAGGGGACAAAAATATAACTTAATACACAGTCCTTTTTTTCCAACTGAAAAAGGATTCATGTTTCTGAACTAGTAGCTGTTCAAGAGGTGTCTTTCTTTTTCTTTCTATGGCTTTCATGCCCCTTTGTATTCTCTGTGAGTCTGGTTCATAAAGCCATCTCTCAGGGCTAGTTTGTTAGAGATTTTGTTAACTCATAAGCTAAATATATAAGCTAGAAAGCATTCAAAATATTTTTACAATAATTATAGTTGGTATACTTTTGTAACAATAAATAGAAACTTGTACAGAGAAATAGCTGAAATCTGACTCTATTATAATCAGGAAAGCAGCTTAATCATATTTAGCTCAGAAACTCTAGGCTGAATTACTGAATTCAGTAATTGCAGAATTACTGAATTTGTGCTTTGACAGCAGGATAGAAGAGTTTCCAACTCAGATGGTGGTCACAACCTTGCTTGGGACAATTGAGACAATAAAATATTTTAATAGAATCATTGGCATTTCATTCTACCCCTGAAATCAAGGCCACCTCTGCTATTACTCACCCAGTGGAAATGTGTGTGTTCATTTTGTTAGTGCACGATTCCTCTGAAGTCAGTCAAGTCCATGGAACTGATTCCATTTGAATCGGTGATTCTCCAACTGATTCAGGACCCCAGGTTGCATTTCTCACTTTTAAATAAAATCCCTCTTAGAAAATCAACTCCTTGTTATAGGCAAAAAAAAAGATGGAAGAATGCAGATACATAGAAAAATGTCACAGTCGTAGTTGGGGTAGGCAGAATTTTAAGATGACTCCCATGACTCTGACCTTGGTATTAATCCCACAGTGATATGGTGAAAGGGACACTTTCCAGGTGGGCCAAACTAATCCTATGAGCCCTTTACAAGCAGAGAGTTTTGAAGCATAAGAAGAACTCAATCTACCATTGCTGGTGTGAAGATGGAGGGGCCACATGGGAAGGGTAAGAGGGACATAAATTCTGCCAATGACCAGTGAGCTTGGAGGAAGACCTTGAGATCCAGATCTAGATGACAGCTGCAACTGGCTGACACCTTGAGTGTGAGACTCTGAGCAGAGGAGCCAGCCAAGGCCACCTGAAATTCTGACCTACAGAA